CTGCGACTTCGAGACCGCAGGGAGCCTCTGCCTCCCCTTCCAGCCTTGTTCTTCCGCCGCCTTTGTTTCCCGGGACGCTTCTGGCTGTAGCACAAGTTCGGCTACTCCCGGGGACGGTGCCATTTAGGTGTGACACGCGTCCGAGCCGGGCCGGAAGCCTTCCCAACCTCTAGTCCTGTCTCCTTGAGTTGTCCACTTTCAATTCTTTTAGCTGTTTCTTTTGATGTTTATATCCATTTTATAAATAAAGTGCTTATACTGTTTGTCGTCGCTGCAGCCGCCCAGAAAGCAGAAAGCGACGACTCTGCGGGCGAACTCGGCAGCGCTGGGAGGCGGGGAAGAGTGTGTGAGAAGGGCCGTGAGTGCATTGGGCGTTGGGGAGAAGGACCTCGAACTTGCACCTCCCAAGCAAAAGTTGATTATTGTTTTTCCTTTTGATAGATTCTGGAGATAGCCGGCGTCTCCTTTCTCCAACTTCTGTCGGCCCTTGTCCGTTTATTCGTTGCCTGAAGTGAGTGAGAGCATTTTAGTGCAACCGCTCAGTGGAGATGGGTATGGGATGGATGAAGCGGCCAGAGAGAAAAAGAAATGGAGAGGGGACCGGGTCGGAGGTGGTGTCCTGGGTGTGGGAACTCGATGACGATGGTACTAATAGTTAGCACGTACCGGGTTTTACTGTGCCAGACACTGTTCTAGAAGCCTTTGCATGTGGTCATGCGATTTCCAGTCCCCTGAAACCGGCCCTCTTCACTAACCTCACTGAGAGATGGGGGCCCTGAGGCTCACAGGGTGTAGAACCTGCTCGAAGGAAGACAAATGAGACGTGCGGAGCCAGGATTTGGATGCTGGTGGGCTGATCCCACAACATGCAGCACCCAGTCATTGTTCCCCATCAAGATGTGAAGGAAGTGAGGACTTAGGGAGTGAGAGTCTGATATGGCGTGAACAGATGTGATAGGTGGAGCAAGGAATTGACATAACAGAGAGGGTGTGCTCCAGGTGAAGACAGATGTGAGGGAAGAGCTGGAACTGCTGCCTTATAACTTTCTCCATCCTGGCTCGGGCCTTCCTCTCTAGGATTCGGTGGGACGGAAGAGGTATTCAACCACACACCTACACTTGAAAGTGGAAATATAGAAGATAGTCAGACCTCGGTTCTGAAACGTCTTCCATCTCGGACAGTTAGGTTCTCAACCAGGTTGTTCACACAGAATTCTCTGTTGTCCAACAAGACGCTGGTTCTCAGTCATGCTGATTGATACCTGTATGATCAGTCACTGTCTCTCAGGCAGCAAAGGAGAGATTGTGCCAGTTTACTGCTAAGCCTCACGTTAACATCTCAGGAAATTGTGCTGTGAATATTTTCGTTTTTTGTTTTGTTTTGTTTTGTTTTTGGCTTTTGGGAATCTGGAATGGTGCTGGGGTCCAGCCCCAGCAGGGCCAGGGGTCCCCAAAGGTGTGGACGGAGTCGGGGAAGAAGGAATGACACGGAGACAGTGTTCAGTTGATCAGCACCCTAGCCAGGATCTCTAGCCAGGATCTCCAGCCAGATTCTGTGTCCATGTTCTCTTGCTAGGTTCTCCAGCCAGGTTCTCCAGGTTCTCCAGCCAGGTTCTGTAGCCATGTTCTCTCGCTCGGTTCTCCAGCCAGGTTCGGTAGCCAGGTTCTGTAGCCAGGTTCTGTCCAGGATCTTTTGCCATGTTCTCTCCAGCGAAGTTCTTCTGTCTCTAGGTTCTGTGTAGGTTCTGTCTTCTAAGTTCT